TGCGATCCCATTGCTGGTCCCCGGTACGGGCACGACACCGAGGGTTGCGATCCCGTTACCGGTCAGTAAAAAAGAGACAAAAAGGAAAAAAAAAAAAAACACAAACACACACCCTCATATGCACCCTGCATAGGTACTCCCAGGGCACTGTCAGTGCACACACTATAAATACTCTCCACTCCTGCCACGCCCCTGGCAGGCAGAGTCTAGTCCTCTCCTGCACACACAGGCACATGTTGCTCCTGTGTCGCTTGTCACACACACATATCTCCTCTAACCCCCGCTCAGACATAGAACCCATACTTCAAAGGACATAGACCCAAGGCAGGTGGCGACACAGTGTTCCCAGATCTTAGAGAAAAGGTCTGAAAATGTGTCCCTGTCTTGTGTGGAAACCCTTCCCAGGAATGAAACTTCCACTAGATTACTGTTAAATGTGGTTAAGCAGGCTGGAGCCACTTCAACTGAAAGCGGAACCTGCAAAAGCTACTTCATGGTCTAAGCAAATGATTTTCAAGCTTTTTTGACCATGACTCACAGTAAGAAATACATATATAATTTTTTTAAGTTTTATAAAATAATGCTTACCCCTATTAATGTGTAATGCATTCTTATAATATTTTCCGTTTTTTTTTTCTTCTCCTTTTTTTTCTGATGCTGTTTGCAACTCATTAATTTGATTTCACAACCCACTAATGTGTGGCAACCCATTAGTCTAAGTAATTGTAATATATCCATCATGAAATGACCTGGTCATGAAAAACTCTGATGTAGGGCAGCCTGAGGCAGAGAGGGGAGAACTGACTGAAGTTTGCAGCCCATCCAGGCATGGCCCCAGGGCAGCCTCACGGTAAGTCTATGCCCGAGATAGAAGGATCACACCCAGGCGGCAGAAGGATGACACTGAGCACTAGGATCTCCCCAAACCCCCATCCCTTTGGTCCTAACTCCGTACTGGCCAGGTGGCCTCCAGCAGAGCTGGCTCCCCAAGTAGACTTTCCTCCAGGTGGGGGAGTACTGACCTGTGACCTGTGTGATTCCCCACTCAACCCAGGGGCAGGTGTGTAAATCAGGTCAGCCTGACAGGGACTCTCACACATATATACGTATATTTGACAGACTTTTACTGAGCACTAATCTAGGCAGTAAGAACACCAAACCAAAAGACATGGCCCCTGAGCCTAGAGAGCTTGCATCTGGTAGAAGAGACCAACCCAGAAACAGACCTGCGTAAGAGAAACCCAATGACAGGGTCATGATGCAGAGTTTTAGTTACACACAGAAGAGCTCCTCAGCCAGCTTGGGAGGTCAGGGGCTCCTTAGAGGAGGGGACCATAAACTGAGTCATCCAGGACATCCATCATTTTTGCTGAGGGGCCATGCTCTTTCTCCTCTCAGGCCCTTAGCACCCAATGTTCCCTTTGCCTAGAATGTTCTTACGCTCACCCCACCCCTGCCACTCTTCATTTGGCTAACTTCAATTCATTCTTCAGATCCCAACTGAAATGTCACTTCCTCCAGGAAGGCTTCCCTGACCACCAGCCTTCCCAATAAACAAGATTAGGTTTCCATCACAAGCTCGTAGCATTTGACGTTTCTCCTCTGTAGCACTCAGTTGCACTTGAAATGATCCATTTCATTTGATGTCTGCTTTCTTCATTAGACTATAAGTTCCATGAGGACAAAGACCATATCTATACTGTTGTCCACTGGGCCTCCCACCACCAAGTCTTGTACCAGGAAAAGAGTATGCACTTAATAAGTTCTTGGTGAGTAAGTGACTAAATGAATAAATGGCTAGGAGCAACCAGGAGTGGGTGAGCGAGAGCTGTGCAGACTCCCTAGGCAGGAGCTGGGGGATGGGAGGAGGAAGGAGTCAGTCTCTCTAACTATGACAGGCAGAGCCCGGGCCAGCCCAGCCTTCAGAGCCTGGTTGCCTTCCTGGACAAGCAGGACAGGAGAGGTCTCACCTGGATGGAGAAGCTCTGCCCCTCGGGTTCGTGGCGCCCCACCAATGTGTAGCTGCTCTTGCCAGAGAGGTAGTAGTAGAGGCCGTCAAATGTCTCCACGTGGTGCTGTCCCCACGCCCGGCAGATGCTATCCCGCTCAGGGCCGGCATTGTACACTGAGGCAGGGAAAAGAGAGCCTCTCTGTATAGCTGCAGTGGTCACCAAGCCAGAGGCTGGCAGGTTCCATCCCTGACAAGGCCACCCTTTCCTCCCCCAGCCTTCTCTGCACCCATGGCCCCTCCCAGGGCGGGATGGAGCCCAGACCCACCCATCTGGCAGCGTGGTCCGGTGGCATTGAAGCGTCTGCAGTCTTTCTCCCCCAGCCTTCTCTGCACCCATGGCCCCTCCCAGGGTGGGATGGAGCCCAGACCCACCCATCTGGCAGCGTGGTCCGGTGGCATTGAAGCGTCTGCAGTCACAGAAGGCCGGGTGCACACACTCACCCCCATTGAAGCAGGAGAACAAGTCTGCAAGGGAAACACAGAGGCATCTCCCCACCAGCCAAGCCTGGCAGAACCTGGTGATGAAGCCCCTCCCTCGCACCAGGGCACCAGGCCCCGGCCCTCCCAGGCCTCACAGAACTCAGACCATCATCACAGGCAGCCCCAACATTCCCCAGCAGCTAGCCTGAGTGCGTGCACAAGGGGGGTGCCTCAGACCACAGCCCTGTCTCCTCCTGGCAGGCAGGTGGAGTGGGGATACAGAGATTTGCCTTTGGCATGCACCGAGTGGCCCCCAGGCCAGCCCCACCTGGGCCTTCAGTTCTCTCAACTACGTTCCTTGCTAGCAGGCGAGGCAGGTGGAACTGAGAATATGGAGTATGTGAGGAGAGCAGGGAGACTGCCTGGAGATCCCCATGACAGTTCTTCCTCACTGCACCATCAGCTCTGGGAAAGAGCCAAGGTGTAGACCAGGGGCTGGTGGACAGGCCTCGCCTGTGCAACACAGCAGCGAGAATGGCCACAGATGAGGAGAAGACAAAGCAGGGCAGAGAGTGGTGAGGGAAGGAGCCGCGATGTGAGGTGAGGGGCCACAGACACAGGACATAGGAGAGAAGGGGCCACAGACACAGGACAGGGGAGTGGAGTGGCCACAGACACAGGACATAGGAGAGGAGTGGCCACAGACACAGGACAGGGGAGTGGAGTGGCCACAGACACAGGACATAGGAGAGAAGGGGCCACAGACACAGGACAGGTGAGAGCAGTGGCCACAGACATAGGATGGAGCTGGGGGTAGGCACAGACACAGGACAGACTGAGGGGATAAGCCACAGAAAAGATGACAGCATGAAGGTCCATGCCACAGGAAGTAGGAAGAGGCCACAGACACAGGGTGAGGTGGAGGGAAAACAAGCACTAAGTACGGAAGCACAGTCCCCCTGGAGGCAGACAGTGGGGGGGAGGCCCCAGAGCCATGGTCACAGGAACAGGACTCTGGAGAGGCAGCTGCTCCGGCAGAAGGGAGAAGGCAGGGTGGCGCTGAAGGCTGGGCTGGGGAAGGGGAAGGAGACCCCAAGCAGGGAAAAGAGGCCACAGGAGGACCAAGGAAAGCCCCCGTCTGTGCTCACAGGCCTCTGTGCAGCCAGGGCCCTCCCACACACAGCTCACAGCCACAGGGAGGGTGCCACTTACACGACGGTGCACACTTAGCCCGATGGAGCCGCCTTTCCCAGGAAGACTTGGCCAGGGAGTCCAGGGCTTCAGCCTCCTTTTATAGACATGAGGAGGAAGAGGGCCAGTCAAGGGCTGCCCTCAGGGCTGGCTACTGGTGGCCTTCATGGAGGTCGCAGCCCTTCCTGTTCATCACCTGGAGGTAGGGAGCTCCCCTGCCCCTCCTACCACAGCCACTCCACCTCCCTGGGCCTCCTCTGAGAGGCCTGTCCTAGGCCCAGAGGAGCAAAGACTCAGCTTTTACCCTTCAAAGTGGCAGTTCCATGACAGGCCAGTGAGGCCCATAGCCTGAAAACGTGCCCTCCTCCAGGCTCCAACACCTCCCTTCTTCCCCAGTAAAACTTTGTGTCCTCCACAGCCCCCCACAAAACCCCCTTGTCTGGAGAACAAACATGAGGCAGAGCTAAGAAACAAAAGCAGCCCCTGGCCCCAGGTCAGGGGAACATCTCACCCCCACCCCACCTCAGCCTTCCTTTGGGGCTCTTCCAACAAAAGCAGGAACAGCGCCTCACAGATCGCCACCCCCTGTCCTCAGAACTCAGCTCCTCGACAGCAGGGCAAGGCGTGGCTAAGAAACCCTATTGTTCAGACACAAATCCCAACACATGGCCTCTCCAGACATAAACCATCTGAAATTAGTACTGTCCCCAACATCATGGGTGTTCAGGCAGCACACAGCTAGATGACATGCCCGCCAAACTCTCAGAGCTCCAGTCCAAGGTGTCTCATGTCCCCTGGGAGTGGGACCCCAGCACAGTGGCTCCCCCTGAGCTCAGAGGCTCAGCCTCCTCATTTAGACAATGTCCCCAGAACCGTGTGCCAGGCACTGCACTAGGTGCAGTGAATGGGACAAAGTCTGAGCCCTCTGGAGCTTGTGTTCTGTTCACAGGGCCAAGAAGCCACAAACCACACTGTGGGCATTTGTTCTGTACATTTCCCCCTTGTCATCTCCACATACCCAGGCTGAACTCCAGCCTCCAGCAAATGGTTTAGAGCACAGGAAGAACTCAGAGCCTGGGTCCCTGGAGCCCAACCCCAGATCTTGGTCCCTCCTCAGCAAGTGGACTCTCTACCTTGTCCTCTGACATGTACACCCTTCCTCTTCACTGTCCTCTTGGCTCCCTGGGAGGTCACGGCCCATCCTTTGCCAGGTTTTGGTGTTCTTGCCCCATGTTGGCTCCTGCCTGGCTCCTGGGTTCTTCCCAGCAATCCTTACCCAGCAGACCCGGACCCGGGCCCAGCCCGCGCAGCCAGGCTCCCATCCTGGTAGTAACCTATCTTCCCCGCCCTCAGAAACCACAGAAAATAGGAGAAGGTGGGGCTGAGGGAAACAGTCACCACCCTCATCCCACTCTACAGCCACAAGAGAGCTCTTAATTAAACTCAGTCATTGTGTCATGCCCTCCTCGCCCCACCTCAGATGTGGCATAGCCTCTGAGACTCGTGTTATGAGGATAAGACAGGCCCCTTCTGCAAAGAGTCAAAGCCTTTTTAAAGAATTCTTCAAATCCTGTTCAAATGATTAGTCTTCGGGATCAACGAGGGATTCTTAATCATTTTTATGCCATGAACCTTTGACAATCTAGTGAAGCCGATGTGGACATCTTCTCAGAGCAATGTTTTTAAATACATAAAATAAACCATAAGATTACAAAGGAAATCAATTACACTGCAACACAGCTATGAAGATGTTTTATAAAAATGTGTGATTTAGTAATATTTGTGCTTCTTATTAGCATATTAAATAACAAGATCTGGTAGAAAGACTTATCACTGCCAAAATTGAGCATTAATGCTATCTTGAGGCATCAACAATGATATAAGGTGATAGGAAAATACAAGGGTGCTTCATAAAGTTCATAGAAAGATTCGTATTACCTTTCAATTCTATTTTTCCAACAACTTTCTGAAGTATTCTCGTATCTGTGATTTCTATTGGTGACCATCACAGACACTGTTAATACACCTGTGGTTTGTAGCCTATAGTGATAACTGAAAGGGATGCTAGATTTCAGTTGGATTGAGGTTCCTATAAATAGCAATGCATTTTTTTTGGTCTACACCACCAATTCTCTGGAGGAAGGTTGCACTCTGTAGGGGTGGGGCAGTATTGAAATGAAGGTTGGTCAGCTGCTGGTCTGGGACACTTCCCCACTTCCAGTGTCTGGGCATTCCAGACAGGAGCTCTCGAAGTGTCCTTGGTACATGGGCCTCAGTCCCCCCAACCCCACTCCAGTCCCCTTAGAGGAGGGCCCTTCTAACTCCTTGGTGCTTTAAGGAATAATATGAGAAACTTGCCTGGGTCACCTGGCCCAGGTATTTGTGACCCTTCCCCAAGGAAAAGGGGGTATGCCTACCCTGGAAACCAGCAAGGAAGGAAGGATCATTTCCCCACTAAAATGAAAGGATTCGTGGAATCACATGGGGCATTTGTGGTACAGAGAGACAGGCCTAACTCCACCAGGGGACTTTGCTGCACCTGGTCACTGCGAGGCCCTGGCAAGTCATCCACCTACCTGCATTTCCCTATCTATGGAAAGAATAACTATGTTACCTTTTAACTCAAACTGTATTTGCCTGTGATTCTAAAACTTGGCACCTGAAAGAGTGGGAAAACAAGAAACAAGAGACCAAGAGAATCCACATTAGAGAAGAAGCATGCTCCTCACCCCCTTGGGGCCTTCATTATCTATTTCCAAATGGTAAGCAGTTGAGACTCACTGTTTTCTATTATAAACAATGCTCCCCAACCTGCTGGCACAAGGGGCTACCCAAGCTGATCGCTGGGGCTGGGGAGCCTGAGTTGAGGCTCAAGCTGCTCTGGGGGACCTGGCGGCAGGTGGGCTGCATTTGGAACATGTCTGTAGTTATAGAAAGGAGACAAATGCTGGCCAGGATTAGAAAGAGGACTTGAGTCACCTGATCCAGAGACCAAAGAAGTTTGGCAAAGGGAGTAAACAAACACAGAGGATCCCAGGAGGGTGGGCAAAAGACTGCAACAAACACAGAGGATCCCAGGAGGGTGGGCAAAAGGGAGGGTGCACAACAGGGAGGGGTCAAAACTCAAAGGACAGTAGCTCAGGGCTCTGCTTCTTAGCCAATCCTTCCTTGCAGCCTCCACCAGGTGGCCCCGTTTTTGTCTTGCTTCTCAGAGCAGCATTCCCAGGGCACTGCTCAAGATACAGAGAGGAGCCTGTGACAGAGTCGAGGACCTTCGCAGGCCAGGCAGGGAGAAGAGAACTGCACTCTCCTAAACTCTCACCTTCCTACTTTCGCCTGCGGGAGGGGAGAGCTCAGCTGTCTCCTGAAAGGGCCTTGGTGCCCACCTCCCATTAAAAAAAAAAAAAAAATCAAGCCTGCTTCATGTCCCCAAGAGACCAGAAAAGTGAGAATAGAAGTGTTGTATGAATTTGCACACTTCAGACATGCTAGGAACCTGTTTGTTCCCTTCTGAGTAACTCCAGAGACAGCCCTCCTGTAACGTACAGAGCTTCCTGCCAGCCTCAGATCCAGACAGAAATAAACCTCCTGCCCAGTAAAGCCCCTTCCCCAGGTCTCCCCTTACCTGGCCTCCCATCACTGTTGTATCAGCCCCTGTGGCAACGGTCGCCTCCTGGTGGCTGTGGCTAGATGAGAAACAAGTCTGGCATGTGTGGAGGGCTGAAAATGGGCCATGCTCCCCACCATAGCCAAGCCCAACCCATCCTCCATGCTAAACCCCTGGGGTCAGGAATAAAGATTGGGGGGCAGCCACAAACTCATTGCTACTCACCTGGGTTCCCGGGCTGGCTCTGCACTGCCGGGTGGTGTGGGTGCTGCAGCTGGGGAGAGGAGATTGTTCTCCACTCAAGCTATGCTTCCCTTCATTGGGGCCTCCCACCACCGGTCCCCCACCTGCTAGGAAGCCTCTCCCACATCGCACAGCATTCCCCATTCTCTCTCCCTGCAGCCTTCTCAAATCCTTTCTCCCCTTCCCTAGTGACCCTTCTCCAACAAGGGTTTCCCTCTTTCCTCCCACTGCTTGGGCCCCACTTCTCTCTAGTTCCCCACCTTAGATCTCTTCCACCCTGCCTAGCTTGGGACTCATCCCCTTGGGTCACAGGCCTGCCTCTATTGCCTTCGCGTCCTCTCTCCTCGACCCTCTCCCTGGCTGTCCCTCTGCCCTCCCTCAGACCTTCTCCCTTTCTCCATCTTTCCAACTGCCCAGGCCCGTTCCCCTAAAAGTGACCCCAGCCCCGATCTCCCTGAGTCCACACTCCTCTCTCAGAGACGCTGCACCAGCAGGGGACTCTCCTGCCGGCTCACCCCGGGGCAGCCAGACGCAAGCCAGCAGCAAGCCGAGCGCGGGCGCTGGGGCTCCCATCGGGGCACGCAGGGACAGGGAGTCTGAGCGCAGGGCCGGGCTCCCGCGGTGCCGCTCCGGGCCAAGGCAGGGTCACACCTTCGCTCTGCAGCGGGCGGGCGCTGTCCCTCTCGCTCTCATGCCCCAGGGCTCTCTCGGCCCCTCCTCCCAGACACTTGGCTCCTCCCCTAGCTAGAGTGACAGGACTGCCCAACTCATTACCATAATTTAGGCGCCAGACGACGTCCCAGCCTTCGCCTTCTTCCCTCCTTGGTCAGTGGCTACCCCTCCCCAGGGGAGACTGGATCCAGAACACCCAGCCCTAAGTCCCCTGCGGAAGTAAGGAGACAGCCTGTGTAGCCCTCAGCTCCCCTAACCTGGGTCCTGAAAGCCCCTTACACTAGAAACCCAAGACGTGGGTATGATCTGGGGTGCCCTCTCCTTTTACAGAGGGCCATACTGAGGCCCTGGGACATGCCACTCGGAGGTCAGTGGTCAGTGGTCAGTAGCAGAGCCAGGGCTCAGGCCTGCAGAGTCCTAGCCTGTGCTTCAGCCACTCCCCACTACAGCTTCCACTGGGTTCCCAAATCCCCATCCCACCCCAAGTTTTGAGCACCTCTCGGGAGTGGATCATGACACAGTCCTCTGAATGCCCAGCATTAGCTCAGGCCCCAGGTCAGAAAATGTTGACTGGCTGACAGAGTGCCTCATACTCTTAAATTATTGCCCCCATCAAGGCCAGACTTTGACAAAAACAACTTTAATTTTTTTTAGTGATACATAATAATTGTACATATTTATGGGGCATGTGTGATAATTTGATACATGTACACAATGTGCAATGATTAGATCAAGATAATTGGAATTTCCATCACCTCATTCATTTACCATTTCTTTGTGTTGGGAACATTCCACATCTCTTCTAGCTGTTTTGAAATACACAATAAATTGTCAGCTTTAGTCACCCTGCTGTGCTATCAAATCCTAGAATTTATTTTTTCTACATATCTGTATTTTTGTACTCATTAACCAACGTTTCTTCACCCCCTCTCTGGTCTATCCTTACCAGTTTCTCGTAACCACTATTCTACTCTCTACCTCCATGAGATCAACTTTTTTAGCTCCCACGTATGAGTAACAACATGCAATATTTCTCTTTCTGAGCCTGGCTTATTTCACTTAACACAAGGTCCTCCATGTTCATCCATGTTGCTGCAAATTACAGGACTCTGTTCTTTTTTATGAATGAATAGTATTCCACTATGTATACATACCACATTTTCTTTATCCATTCATCTGTTGATGGACACCTAGGCTGATTCCATATCTTGGCTATTAGGAATAGTGCTGCAATAAACATGTTAGTGCAGATACCCTTTCTTTCACACACACACACACACACACACACACACACACACACACACACACACACACCCCAAGCAGTGAGATTGCTGGATCATATGGTATTTCTATTTTAAGTCTTTTGAGGAAACTTCATAGTAAAAAAACAACTTTAATTTTGTGAACCAGGTATAATCTCTGCCTGGGAGAAACTTTTAAATGGTGAAAAAGTGGGCCTGAGAGGCTTGGGAACCTATGCCTCATTCACTGGGCCAACATTTAGGGAACACGAACTAGATTCCAGGGCTTGCAGATAATGATGATGATATTGGCCACAGGAGACCCCTGGGCAGGGATACAGATTTAAGATGCATTCATTCATTCATTCATTCATTCATCCATCCATTCAACAAATGTATTGAGCATCTATTCCATGTCACACACTGTTCTAAGCATGTAGTGCTAAAGTTCACATAGCTATCCTTACATAGGGTACCTGAAGCATGGGCATGGACAGAAAGGTGAAGAGGAGAGAGCCAAGGGTGCAGCCTTAAAGGACATTGGTTAGGGAATGGGTGAAGCCAGGTTTTTCTCAGAGGAAGCTTGAAAAGGAACATTCATGGGAGAGGAGACCAGAACTCAGCGCTGTCCTCAAAACCAAGAGAGGAGCATTTTAAGGAGGGAGTCTGTGGGGGTAGTGGTTATGCAAAGGAAGGATTGAGGTGGCCAGTGGACCATATTCCCCTGGTAAGGGAATTCCCACTCTGCCTAGATTCTAAACATGAAATAAATGATTATACGAAGGGTCTTCAAAAAGTTCACGAGAAGATTTGTATTATCTTTTAATTCTATTTTTCCACGAACTGTTTGAAGTGCCCTCGTATGAAATGTAGAGAATCAATGAAGTAGTTGGAAGCGAATATATTTTGTGTGGTCTTTTCTGGACTATTGAAAATCCCACAAGTTTTATCTTTTATCTCTGTTTTAACTAGTAAATGCTAAGGTGAGAACATGAATAGTATTTTAAGGTGCTTCTCCAGAAGGGTTTGCATCTTAAACTAGGCAATAATTTAGTCCAAAAATAGTCAGCTTGCAAAACTTCAGTTATTGGGGAAGAGATGCAGAGAGGTGGTCTTTAGGTGCTCCTGAAGTTATAATGATAAGTGGTTACTTGATTTAGACTGCTGTCCATCTCCTTGCCCCTGCCCCCTGACATGGTGCAAACGGGTCAGGTGCCTGTCTTGGGTTAAGTCTGGGCACAAACCCCACAGTTAAATCCCCTCCCCCCTACCCCACCAAACACATACATTCACACTTTTGATTACCCCTCTCCTGACCCTCCCTTTTCCTCTCAGTCTGTCCCAGGCCTGGTTCATTATTGTGTTTGCACCCAGCACTAGAGTTAAGCTAACTTTGGCTGAATTGAATCAGATGAATCAGACAGTCTGGACCCCGGGTAAAGGTCACCCATAAATCAGGATGTCACTGCCAGTCTCTTCATGCTTCAGCAAATGTGTGTGAGTGTGTTCGATTCGGTTTTGGTTCTCTTTTGGTTTTTTGTTTTGTTTTGTTTTTACTTTTTTGGAAGTGGGGGGAGCCTAGGGAAGGTGGAAGGGGAAGTCAGTTGAGGGGGCACTCCCACACTGGTTCAGGCCCCTGGGGCTCCAATAAGACCCAGCCCTGCCCCCAGGGATTTCACAGATCAAGGACTGATTTCTTCCTAGTGGGGAAAGTGCACGGAGGAGGCCATTATGGATGTACGCTGAAGATGAGATGTGTGACATGGGGTGACGGTCTCAGGAAGGCGGATGGGTCTCTACCCGTGTATCCAAAGAAAACTGACTAGGGGGCCCACCTCCTACCCACCGATGTGAAGAGTCTCCAGACCTCTATATTCAAAAAAGCCTCAAACCTCCTCCCCACGTCTCCGCGATCCTCGTCCTGAACCGCATGTGACTGGGGACCATTTCAAGAGGAACGCCAGCCTCGAGCCCAGCTACTGCCACCAGCAGAGCGCGCGCGTGCACACACACACACACACACAGACGACGATTCACGACAGGTGTCTCGCGCCTCCCAGCGGCCCCGCCCCGCCTCCTCCCCCACCCAGGCCCCGCCCCACAGCTCCCAGGCCCTGCCCCATCCCGAAGGCTGCTCGGCTGGCTCCTGTCAGCTCCCGGCAGCCGGGCACCCGAAGGGAGCTGGTCGTGCAAAGACGTGGCCCCATCCAGCCAAGCCATGGACCGGAAGGTGGCCCGAGAATTTCGGCACAAGGTCAGACCTGCGAGAGGCGCCCCAGCTTCGGGGACTCCAGAGTCCCGGGGGGGGGGGGGGCTAGGCAGCTCCAGTGCTACCCCTCTTTTCCTGCCCAGCTTGAGGGCTCTGGGTGGGATGGCACCCTTGAGGGTCGTTTGGCTGGCAACAGGGATCCCAGTAAAATGAGAAACGGGGCACTGCGAGTCCAGGTGTAGGGACTCTAAACTGATCTCCTCAAAGTGTCCTTTCTCCTGCCCTCCAGGGGCTGGGATGGCTCTGGGGTTGGAATTCATTCTGGCCTTAGCCTGAGACAGGGCACTTCCCTAAGGTGCCCCATAGCAGGCCAATCTCCCTCCTTCTTAGTGCCCCCAGCTCAGGACTTTTGAAGCCTGTGGAGAGAGTCTGGGGCAGTATCTGAGAGGTGAGGATTGGGAGAAGGAAACTGTGTGTCCTTTCTCTGCCCTTTGACCTCAAAACGCAAGTTAGAAGCATTTCAGGGAGTCCCCTACCTGCCTCCGGACCTTTCTCAGGGCCTGAGAAATAACTGAGGACTGGTGATGGCCAGGGTGCAGTGGGGAGGAAGTGAGGACATACCGAGGGTGTGAGGAGCTGGGCTCTGGCCAGCCACATCCTTCAGGCAGAGCCACATCTCCCCTGCTGTGGGACTTCATTCGTGGTCCGGGGTCCTAAAAGACTGTCATTGGAAGCTGGGCATTTTTCAGAACTGTTTCTAAAGCTGTACAGGATCTGCTGAGGTCCTGGGGACAGAGGACCGTTGAAGAGACCCAGTGGGCTTCCCCACCAGGCCTTAGGATCCCTCAGAGTCTGGAGTGAAACCACAGGTGTCTGGAGCTACTCACAGGCCCTGCCTGAGAGGTAGTCAACTGTGTGCTCTGAGGCCATCCCGGAGCCCCAGAGGGGGAGTGTCTTTAGACCAAGCCAAACCCCTTCCTGGGTCTGAGGGGCAGAGCATAGGCAGGCAAGGTCAGGGTGCTTAACCCCTGCCTTCCCATAGAGAGGCCAAGAGAAACCCAAGAAGCCAGCCAATGTGGGCCACAGGGCTAAGGACCAGGGGCTGAGGATCATTCATTCATTTAATAAACATGTTTTGAGCACCTATTCTGTGCCAGACCCAGTCTGTACCCTCAAATTACAGGCCATGTGGGTGGGAGACAGACCCTTTGCTAGTAATTACCCACGGCTGGGTGCTGATTATTGGGACCAATGTTTGGTAGGGTCACAGAGGAGACAGCTCATAATGGCAGAAGTCTCCTAAAAACAAGGCCTTGGGCATACCGGATCCTGCTCCCAGGGCTGAGAAATAGCTGGAAGTTCCATAAGAGTTCAGCTGGCAAATATCAAGAGCAGAATGAGATAGTGTTCACCAGTGCATCCTGTTTCAAAAGGATGTGTGGGGAGAAATT